CACACACACACACACACACACACACACACACACACACACACACACACACACACACACACACACACAGACGGGAATACGACTCGGCCACCTCTCACGCCATTCTTTCCGTTTTTCCTTTTCCTTGGTGCCTTTTTTATCTGGTAAGGTTCCCAACAACTAGGACTACTGGGTCGCACAGGGTGCTTAGTCCCTTGCGGGAATGGATGCCATGATATTGTCGTATTGTTTGCGTGTACGTTTGTGCGGATCTCGCGAGCAACTTGTGGCCGTTCAGCTGTGTACGTCTGCACGGTACCAAACCAAAGACAACCAATGGACGACAAATACTACGACATCCCCAGAGCGAAAACGAAATCCGACGACCAACAATTTGCCATGTCGACAATTCCAACTAAACCGGCATAAGGATTCAAATGGCTTCCCCAGCATATATCCATGGGATAGAGCCAATTGACAAGCGCTTAACGGATGCCACGTCACCTTCTCCCCCCGCCCACTGCCTCCGTCCGAAAAAGAACACTCTCCTCGTGTTGCACCGCCCGTCAACCATGCACCCTCGCCAAAACTGCCCAGTTATGGCACTTGAATAAAACACATTCATGAATGCCAGCGGAGAACATGAATTGTCTTCCTTCTTTACATCACGTTTATGGTTGCATTTGTTCCTTCCACCGCTCTGCTCACGCTCATACGCTACCACGCTCCTCTCTACCACCTCCGCGTCACAGCCCGTATGTCATCCTCCGGGGACCAAGTTCTGACCGCCCCATGCAGGTAACCTCTCTCGCGTACGGGGGGCTCCATATGCGCCATGTACGACGCGTTCCCGTGCATCGCACCCATATGCTTTTCGGCCAGGGCGGATACCAGGAACCTCACGACATCGCCAACGACATCATGTGCCGGCATCTGCCACGTGTCAGGGACGATGACAGACAACATCCGGACGAACAGGACAACCTCGATGAGGTTGTTCTCGCCATTATACCCCAGCCCTCCTACGATCTGCATGGCGATGAGACCATCCACAAGCTCGTAGTAAGTACGACTCTCCCGCAGTCCCACGTTGGGGCCCCACTCCGTATCTCGATGAAGTTCCTTGCCCCTCTCGTGCCTTGTCTCTTGGATGACGACGTCCTTGCCGCCCACCCATTCGCGGACCACCGACAGAACGTCCGACATTCTCTCTCTCTCTCTCTCTCTCTCTCTCTCTCTCTCTCTCTCTCTCTCTCTCTCTCTCTATGTGTGTGTGTGTGTGTATGTGTACGCCACACCAGTGCCCACAGAAGCAAATACACAGCGTCCCACAATCGACGGATTCCGCGCAGGAACTGTGCCCTCCGACACGACAGGGTTTGCTCCTCGTACATAGCAGTCCCTGCCCGAGCTTATGTAGGCATTGGGCAAGAGTAGTTATCTGGCGCTGCGCTTTGTTCGATGCTTTCCCGCGACCTTCCGGATATATATATATATATATATATACATATTTATATTATATATATATACATCAACGCGAGGACGGGTCTGCATCCCCCCCCCCGTTAGCACCGTACCTTCCCCTACCCCCCGTCTGGCGAGAACCCCGACAAGCATCTCAAGTACAGTGTTCCCCCCCCTCATGGCGTCTGCAACGTCACCTATTTTCGCCTCGATTGCTGTGCCGACTTCCGATGTCGCCTTCGTGAGAGTGGAGGCGGCCTTGTCAAGACCGTCGCAATACGCCCTTGTAGAATCCTCCATCACCCTCCCCAACGACGACCCCCCGCAACTCATGTCCTCCACTCTTGCCTTGCCGTTGTTCGATCTTCGTCTCTTCGATGCACCCTCGGAATTGTTCGTCGTTCTACCGTCTGAACCGCTTCTCCCGGAACCACGATTCCTGGGACCGTCATTTTGAGTTGTCTCCCCACCTCCGCTGGTCAGATCCTTAGATGCCAATGTTTTGTCACGGGTCATGAACGGTCTATTCAACTTCCACTGCATCGCCTCCCAAAGCGGTCTCTCAAAGGCTAGAGGCACCTCCATTTCCTTTTGCTTCTCCACGGGCAAGTCGAAGTAGGAAGGCATGCCAGACGCATTCTCGCACGTGTCCAGGATTAGCTTTGCCTTGCTCAACATGTTCATCCATTTCTTCCGACGATCTTCCGCTGTCCTGTGCCGGAATCCGTTGTCTTTCATTCAGTCGTGCACCCAGGCATACCGCTCCTTCATCTTCGTGAACTGATGTTGACCGTCCGTGTCATCCATGAGGGCGTCGTCCTCCCCCATCAACCTCGCCAGGGTGATCCTCTCCTCCAACGTCCAAGGGACGTTTTGTTTTTTGTTTGTCGCAACATTGTCTTTGCCCTTGCGCTTGTCATGAGGACGACCACCCTCCCATCCATCCAAGGTCTGCCCTTGGTTGGAATGTTGTGCACTTTCTGCGTCTCCACGAGCATTGTCTGAAGTCTGCACAAGAATGTTCATTCCATCTCCCTCATCATTACCGTCGTCATCACCTTCGCACGCTTCACCTTCATCCGCATCGTCATCAAAATATGATGTCCCCGATAAATGGTTTCCTGCAGGCCATCCCTGGTTGGTCTCTTGGCAATGCGCATCGCGCATGGAAGTCGATTGATGACAAAGCGTACGTCTGGCCGATGGTCGACTCGGGCTGCCCATTGCACCGTTTACTTGTTGCGACGTCTGCCCGCACTGCGGGGACCACGATCGATCACTCCTCATCGCACTGCCCCTGTCAACATTGTGCTGGGACGACAGGTCCTATGTCGGAATGCCGAATCCGCAACCGGCCTCAAAGGAATGCGGAGCAGGTGTGCCGTATCCGGCACCAATCGGACTCGGGAGGGGACCATGGCCCATGTACATGGCTCTTGCAGGCATACTCTGCATAGACGGTCATCCAGGGAACCGTCCACGTGTCCCTGCCGCATGCTGAAGTGCGGAAGTAGGGACAGGGGCCCGTGGTATATGGATCGACAAGCCTCGACCCCCGTCAAACAACTGGCCGGTGAAGGATTGAACCACCGACGTTGATGGCGAAGAGCACGACACAGATCCATGAACGGGAACGTCTTGCATTTGAAATTCCCCATCGTTGCCCGCCGGGAGATCTGTCCTCCATCGACTGGAATCCATCCTTCTGCACCTACCAATAAAAAAGGTCTCTCTCTCTCTCTCTCTCTCTCTCTCTCTCTCTCTCTCTCTCCCTCTCTCTCACACACACACACACACACACACACATACACACACACACACACACACTACCTCCCCTTCTGAACTACCTCCACCGACACCAACAAAAAAAGACAGCCACACACCCTAAAATCAAGAAGGGTAACACCGCGGCACCCACGAGGAGAAGTACCGCAATGATGCCTGTGAGGACAACCCAAGACGGGATTTTGTGACGGCTACCACAACAGCAGCGGTTGTCCATGACAACGGCATGCATGCACAAACGCTGACGCTGGCCCTCACACGTCGACGCCTGCCAAGGAGGAAGAGGACCCGGTACGTGGCGAGGAAGGGGTTGTGGAGTGGCAAGCATGTTCCCACATGCCCCCAAACCCACCTCCCGTCTGCCGATGTCTGTGTCTGCCGACGACACACACACACCTTGCCTGGAGAGCCGGACGACGGGAGATGGCAAAGCACAAAACCTTGGAACGATGGCCCGTGTCATTTGCACCATCGACGACGACAAGTTCGCAGGCTGTAGATTCGCAACACGACACGACACAGGATGTACGCATTGCACGGGTTGTCTTCCACGCTGTCGTCCACACAAAACGGTTTGTACACCTCCGACAACACTGGAATGCACCTCACGGCCTGCACGTGCCAACGACACCAGCGACGATATGGCAGCGAGCACGTCACCACAAATGCGGAGGGAGAAGGTGAGGACGCCGGTGTATTCGAAGCATCAACGCAATATGTGACATGCACACCCACGGACGTACGTCACTTCTGCATGGCTGGCCGTCGTCCTCTCCCCGCGAAAAATTTTGAATTTGAAATTTTGTGCACCGCTGCAGGGCCGTTTGAAAAATACGGGGACGCGGAACCTGCCTGTGCCCAGAGGCCCATGTGCGAACCGTGCGACAACAAACCGGTTGTCCGCAGCGGCAGAGCAGGTCCAAAAAATGGTCCCCTCCACTGCCGCGTGGACCATGCCGTCTAGCCGTCCGATGCCATCGGAGAACATGCCCACCCCTACTCTGTTGGGGGCCATGTTTGGAAAAGGAATGCTGCGATCGGGTAGCGATTTTCCAAACCGCCGACCATGTAGAAATGCCCCGTCAGCATTTCGGCAACCCCTTTCCATCATCGGTCGGGTCTGGAAAACCTTTCCAAAGAGGCTTTCCACACCTCTTACCATCACCGGTGGGGTCTCCAAAACGATCGGGCGCTTTTTTTTTTCCAAGCCGCCGTCCGGTGGGGTCCACCTCTTAGGCTGAGCCTCTCCATCAACAAAGGAAAGCCCCTCGCCCAAGCTACGTCACCACACTTGGCGTGGTCTAACAGTCAGTTTGGTTAGTCAGAATGAGTAGTAGTGGATCGAGGCCCATTGTCGTGGAAACGACAACGAGAACATCGAGAAGGAATCGGGCAAAAATTTAAGGGTATGTGGCCCCCCCCCCCCCCAAAAAAAAAAAAAAAAGGATATGTGGCCCACGCAGAGTGCGTTGGTTTGGGAAGGCGCGCCGGAGTCAAACCCGGCCGTGCCATTTACGACCTGGATTACAAAGTCTTTGCTCCGGTTAGCACG